AGGATTACACTTTTATACCTTGTGTTGTGCAAAAGGTTCTAGTCATTTTGTGAAGTGTTTAAGACTTTTTGGCATAAGAATGTTATTTATGTAATATACAGATTTTGTGAATTTAAATTTTTCTTGTTGTAATAATAAATAAATTTAAGTGTTTTTGTAAATTCTATAAATGTGGTATTTTTATCGACTGATCTTTTATATTTTATAATAAATACTGTCATAACAAGTGATATATGATGCATTCTAATTAATACACACCCTAAGTACTGTACTTCCTGCTGTGTCCAAGATGTGCACACATGAGCCATTTAATTTTTTGATCATGATTAAGTCTGTTTGATGACAGGAAGATAAAAGTGTAGTGATTTGTCATTAGATAATGAATATATTTCATTTAGATTCTTTCTTCTGTATCATACAAACATGGAAAAATATATAAATACCAAAAAAAAGTAAAAACAACAGCCCTAATAAATTATGTATTTAAACCAGTTTAAAAACAATAAAGACCAAAGAAAAAATCTGTAACTACACATGGTGAGATTAAATCATGAACCAACTTCGTGGTAGTGACTTCTTCTGTCCTGTAGGACTGGTTTGAGACCATCCAGATCCACTGCAGATTTTTTCATATGTCATCTCATCTCTGACAGAAATGAACATGTGTATGAGGCCCCCACCACAGAACAGACTACATATAATGTTTAGGTCCTCTGGTCATTATCATCATCTTGTTATCAGAGGTAACAGAATTTGTTTCACAGGTCCCCCATTTCAGAAATGGACTCTTGTCTTCATTTTAAAATGGGCCACGTGCCAGGAAGGTCAGATACATCATAATTAGAGTCATCAGCTGTAACATAATTTGTAATTCCATGTGTGTAATTATTTTGTCAGGAAAGTTTTGAAATATTAGAATATCATAGTAATGTTAAATATTCTCATTGTCTTATGTTAGAGTATGGGTTGTGGGGAATTTGATAAAACCAAAACCTCTGGAATTTACTTTACTTTTCCATGGTGATAAGCAATGCAATTTTGATTTAAAATTTGATTATGATATATTTTAAACATACCTATGAATTTTACATAAAATATAGTTTTGTGCTTTTGGGTAGTGTTAATCTGTAATAGCAAAAATTACACACAAAAGTGGATATTTAGTTAAAAACAGTTTATTCTTTAATTTCCAGCAGCTTCTCGGCATAGAAGTGAGCACATAAAGGAAAACTGATAAATAAGTTCTTCCCTGCTTTTGTTTTGGTCATGCCACTTTTTGGTTTTGGTGGTTTCATAGGAGACTTATACAATTTGGCAGCTCAGTTCTCAAATGATTGTACATTTATTATTTTCCTGTGTAAAATCTGTCACCCTTAGCTTGACTAGTAATCATAACTGATGTATATTTTTCACCATAGGTACTGATGAAAGAAACATCAGTGTGATAGTATTCTATTCAACATGAATCCAAGTGCCTATGAAATAAATATAGACAGTGTGCCTGGTGATGTCAAGGCGAATGTTTGGTATAAACTTAAACCAGCTGAACAGTTTCCTGATGCACGTGTTGGACACACTGCTCTTTATTGTAAAACTGATCATGAGGTAAGTAGACCAGTTGATAAATTGTTTCACATATTTTTGTTGTTGCTGTTACCAGATACTTACAGTTTAAAAATTTTCAAATTATTTATTAACTGGTAAATAAGTTCAGAACTATGTACTGCTTTCAGGTAAGCAAAAATTGTCATAAATGCCAGGAACTGAATCCACATTTTAATTTTAGTTTCTTCCTAACAGGTGATTCTAGTTGGTGGTGCAACACCTCATTCTTTGTATAGTGAAGTTTGGATCCTTAACCTTAAAAACTTGACGTGCAATCATCTTCAGGTCTTAGGTGAGTTTGAGGCTCGCTATGAACACAGTGCCTTCTTTCCAATAAAAGTAATCAGTTCTGAAACTAAAGAAGAGATGGTAACAAAATCAGAGAAGACAGAGAAAACATATGATTGTTCAAGACTGTGGATATTTGCTGGAGCAAATACTGAGGAAAACAAAAATGACTTCTGGGAGCTGAACTTTGAGAGTCAGCAGTGGGTCCAACTATCACAGAGTGGAGAAATTCCATCACCACGAACATATCACACAACCTCTGCATGTAAGTATAATATAATTATTCTGATCTGCTTGTTCCACAAAATTGTTGAGAACACTGTTAATTATTTGATTCATGTGAAAAATAACACTGTCTAGTATCAGAACCCAAAGATTCAGCACCACTAATACGAAAGTCTAAAATTGGTCACAATCCTTAGTTATTTCCATCTGCACAACACATCTCCGTGAGGTTCTTCTTTATCTCATACTAAGCATTCCATTTTACAAGGACAGAAAGAACAAGGAAAAGATACTGACTATAGGTTCTTTATCTCATACTAAGCATTCCATTTGACAAGGACAGAAAGAACAAAGAAAAGATACTGACTATAGGCATTACAGACTTCTACAAATACAAAACTAAATATTGTAACTAATATCAGTAATTAAGTTGAGTTACTGTTTGAAATCATAATTTATTCCATTTACTATAGTTACAATTAATTATTTCCTTGATGACAGTTTTGGCAGTTTATGACTTGCAGTTTTGACTATAGATAACTTCCACACTAGTAATAACTTCATATCTCAATGTATTACACTGCTACTTAACGGTCAGCTCACGGCTCACTTGGCACTCACTTTTCTACTTGCTTGCTCATACATGACATGACTGACTCTGGTTGGTGGCTGTGACTCATATTTAAAGGCCCAGGCAATGTTCTGTGGAGTTCTCCAATGTTTCATACACTTTGAGATGAGGCAACATCGTTTAGTTTCCTTCAGCACACTAGCTAAACATTCTGGAAGTTTCTAGCAATAACATGAGCACCAGAGTTGCACACACATCTTGGCGATGCAATTACAGCTGATGGTAAGGGTCTGCAGGGGGGTGGGAAGGGTAACTTGAAGCCCTCAGGTGACATCACAGCAAGTTGACTGTACACATAATAATATCCATCTTTGTTGGTACAGTGACTGGTTTCATATCTCTTGTCAGAATATCATACTGAATGGTGGCCCATTTTTATCATTGCATACCATTTATAGTCTCATTTTACATCAATAAAACAGTAAATGAGATTTTGTGATTCAGACGATGGTAGTTGAAAAATGGCTGTATAGTATGAATTTTATTTGTGATTCAAGAAGAAACACGCCTCTCTGATTTGCTTTATATGTATATCTTGCAGTTTTGGGTGATACATTTGTGGTATTTAGTGGGGGAGCCAAAGGTGTAGAAGCAGTGACTGATACTCAGACATATCAGCTAAATATGCATACTAGGGAATGGAGCATACTTCCTACCAAGGGACAACCACCGAGGTCTCGACAGGGCCATGTTCTCATTGCTGTTGATGATAAGGTATAAATTTTGATGTTCAAGTGAAATAGTAATTAAAGCATTTTGAGTAGTTTCAATATTTACATTAATTGACTAATGTATTAAGTCTTCGTAATATTGCTGACAGAGGCAGCCCTGGTGGACTATAGTGCAGTGTTCTGATGGTCAGGATGGTCATTTGTCCCAAATTTAAAATTATGGTGAATGTCAAAGTAAAACCCTATAAGGCCCTGATGACGGAGGCAGTATGACCTCTGAAACGTTGGTTAACATCGACCAGACTACACAGCGCAACAACCCAGAAGACGGAAATCTTCATACTAAGAATCGCCCTGATGACGGAGTTAGTATGACCTCTGAAACGATGGTTAACATCGACCAGACTACACAGCGCAACAACCCAGAAGACAGAAATCTTCATACTCACTGCTGTGAAAACCTCAAATCTTCCATGAAGAAATTAACACTGCATTTTTAGATATCCTAAGGCACAAGGTCTGTTTTCTAAAACACTCTAAGTCTTGCGACTATTTTGATTCTATACAGGTTAGCTTGTTCATGAATATTTATGATACTTAAATGTTTATAAGAAACTGTAAAGATAACCACAGGAAGTTTTGTCTTGGTTTGCAGTTATTCTGTCATGGTGGAATGTCAGGAATGGGTCTTTGTGATGACCTGTATGTACTGGACAGTGATGGGACATGGACATCCATTGATTGTAAGCATCAGCCCAGTAGACGTGCAGCACACGGAGCTGTATGCCACAAGAGATTCATCTATATTTTTGGAGGTTTGGGTAATTCTGGAGCTCTCAGTGACATGTGGAGACTTCATGTGGGTGAGTCAAAATGAACTGTGCTGTAAAATGTAATGTTAATAATTTAGTCTGTTCTGTATAGCTTAGTGTAGAATAGAATAGAATTTATTTTCATTCCATAGATCCTTCATAAGCCTAAGCTGGGGATGTAGAACATGTCATAGCTTGAATACAATACTTTTTTCTAATACAAATTACATAGTTATGACAGTAATTTAGAATCAACTGCAGTATTATTGCAAAAATAATTACACAAGAAAGCATACCCACCATTGCTTACATATTTTTATAACAGCTGAGAATTTTTGGTTGAGGTAAATTCTTCTGTGGAGTAGGAGTGAGGTACAAGATATTCTTTTAGTGCTAGCTTGAAGTTTTTATATCATGATAGTGACTTTTTATAGTGGAGGGGGGGAGAGATTGACAGCAATCCTGGAGGACAAAGAAAGAGGGGCCACCCAAAGCTCAGATGGGTTGATGGAGTGGAGGGATGCAAGGGTGTTGGGATGCAGAAATTGGAGAGTGGTGGCGCGAGACAGAGACAGATGGCGGAGGGTCGTTGAGGAGGCCAAGGCTCACACCGGGCTGTAACGCCAAAAAAGAAGAAGATTATTTGAATAGCTTAATTCCAGTATAGTAAACTCCTTTTTGATATTTATTGGCTTTAGTGTATGGCATATGAAGGTTAGATCTGTATCTTGTACTTATAATTTGGGTATCTGAGTTTGTTTGAATTTTTCTATGTTGTCCACTACAAATGATTCCTTATCAATTTCAGACACATTGGTATGGGAAGAAGTCACTGTGAGTGGTTCAGTGCCTCCAAGGAGGTTGGATTTTGCTTTAGTTTTAGTAGAACTTCCTCACAGATTTGAGAAGAAAATGCAGGATCATAGTCAAGGTGACGGTGAGGTTGAAAAAAAAGAAAGAGAGTTGAAGGAAGAAACTGCAGTCAACAAAACACCTGATGCAAATGAGCCATATGTTCCTTATATTTTGTTGCATGGAGGTATAGATGAAACAGGTCACATATATGATGACTTTTATGTTATGAGTTTGGGTTTGGGAAGTGACATTGTACTAGGCTGAAACATAACTTGTTGCTGTTTACATGAAATAATTTACTTCTTACAAGAACATATCATCAAAACACATTTCACTGTTCAAAATTCAGTCAAATTTTGTTGTACAACAGTTGTAACTTATTCATTTTAACATTCATATGTAAAGACTTTCATGGGGAGATTTACAGCCTTGTTCTTTAAGGCATCATTGTGTTGGTTTTTTTTCACCTTCTCACAGATATCTCAGTTTTGTAACATATCAGTAAATTAATTTTGCTACTTGAAAGTTTGGTCTTTGTCATATACTTTAGAAGGTGATTAACTTTATAATGTTTATGTAATGTAAAATTCTTCATTTTAAAAAATGTGATAGCTGTCAATTTTTAAAGTCTTTTGTTTTATTGCCAGTTGTTCATTATGCTCAAAATATGTAATATTTTGTAAGACATTTATCTGGTAACAAGAATCATGATATATTGTCAGAACATATGACAAAGAAAGATACATTTGAAGTGTGAGGTTCTCACGGTAGTGAAGATGTCTTGTGGTTTATTTAATAGTGATGTCAATAGCACATACTATATGCCACTTAATGATAGGATGATTAATGAATGATAAATACGAAAATATACGAAAAGAACCTGTAATGACCAAATTTAAGGAATGCCAAAAGTTGCAACCACCTACAAGACCACATGGCATCACAATCTTGAAGACCACAGTTGACGATAATACATTTGTTGATGCATGTTATAATAAATTTAGTGCCAGATATTACTGGCTGTATGTGAGGTGGATACTGTTCCTCAGATATTCAGATATACTATTTAAGTTATGCCAGCCACAGTAGCCACGCAGTCTGAGGCACGATCCTCGTACGCCTGACTGACCGTGGGTTCGAGTCTCACTTAAGGCATGGATGTTTGTCCACTACCAACCCGCACTGGCCAGCGTGGTAGTGTATGGCTAAAATCCCCAAATGGGAGACCTATGTCCAGTAGTGGACATTGAGAGGTTGAAGGAAAAAGAAATTTATGTTATCTGTGGCTGAAAACCACCGATAGTCCTCTTACTGTTCTGTATTTATAACTCTCAAAACCTTGGTCATAAAACTCCATGGAAATTCTCAATTAAATAAAGTGCCAAGGAAATCATTTTGACATAAAAAGGATGAAGTAGTGCTGGTGTAGATGCTACCAGGAAGGTGGAAGACTGATACTTTGATTGATGAAGGAAATCCAGGATGCAGTGGCAGAGAGAGGAATGCAAGGGGGATCATAGATAGAGAAGAATGATGATTGGGAATTGGAAGACAATCAGTGGCATTATAAAACCAATACATACAATGGGACAAGTAAGTAAAAAATGGTAGATATCACATAAAGAATTTTGTAATTTATACAGCTCACTTAACATTGTTATGATAACCAAAGTAAGAAGGTGACGCATGAAAATGGAAATAAGGAATTGCATACAATTTTGGTGCAGGAGCCTGTTGGAAAGTGACACTTAGAAAACTTGAGAATAAGATAAGCAGACAATACTGAAACGGACATTAGATACTGGGACTGAGGATGTGGACTGGGCTGAAATGCTTAGAATTTTGTCCAGTGACAGGATATTGTATAAACTGGTTTAGAATGTTTGTCCTTAGGGAGATGGTTATTTAGATACAACTTTTGGTGACATTCCCATGTAATGTAATGTTTCTCTAAGGAATATTTGATCATTAACATAATTACATTTAAACCTAGAAGAATTGAATATTTGTAAGAAACCAGAATCTATGACATTTAAGTATAATAAATACAAGTACTTTAACATTTTTCTGTGTCTCCAAATTGATTTACATTTTATCTGGAATTTTGGTGAGGTATACTGTGAGCTGGGAGTGTATAAACAATATAATGGATAATTACAATTAAATTTTAGCTCACTATAAACTGAACTTATTCCTTATACTATACTGCATCTTAAAAGTACAAGGATATTTGTTTAGGACAGTAAATTTGAGCATAAATGTGGCTTTCTTTTAAATCTAAAGAATCATTTCAATATAACTTCAACTTGGGTTTATTTTGAGTAATTTTAATAAAAAAGTTCCTTTTATACTTTTATATAATTTATTCAGTATTGTATAAAATGATGTATTATTAAGATTTATTACAAGTATTTACACAGTATAGAAATGGTCAATAGTTCACTGAATTCAGCACCAAGTAACAGCTGTTAACTTCAGCCAAACATTACAATCCTGAATAAAGCCCCATTCACAATTTAAAATTTGCTATACAACAGAAATTGTTTTCCCTCATAAAAGTTAATAGTGCATGCTTATTAAAATATTAGCCATTTCAATAAAATATATAACTGAGACAAATATGTGATTGCACGATTTATATTTGCCCACACGTATGGCATTTGGGAAGTTCTTCTAACATGGATGACAGGAGAAAGTCTGTATAAATGTGGCACTTAATTAATGCTACAACTCTGGTATTAATGATTTATGATGTAAAAGACTCTTTAGTGAGATACTTATTTTTCTTGTTTCTTCCATTTTCTTGCTTTGTGGTTAAGATATACTATTTATACATAAATATTGCACTGCCTTAAATATAAGTATAAAAATGGTATTTCATTGTGAATTGGGCTTGGCATTCAAAGGCAACTTTGCAGTAATACAAAGGCTGAAAACACAAACTATATCAGGCACCAACACAATACAAAGACAAGTCTTTCCAATTAATTTAAAACTTGTGTAAACAAAGTAAATTATTTGTGTACAGTATACAACATTTTTTTGGGTAATGAGGCATACATGTTTCCACATCTTTGTGTAATTGTTATATATGATTGATTCATAGGTCATTTAATGATACTGCATCAGTTACAGAGATTATTCAGCATTGGCTTGTGATGTGTTTTGTGTACTTAAATCAATTCACACCATTTTTTATTATTCTTTTCATTCCTATGGTCAGACATTTCCATTATGGTACACAGTTAAACATCTATTCTTGTATTCTGTACCATAGACAGTAGATGGCTGACACACTAGTTGAATGTCAAATGAAAAAAGGTTAGGTAAGTTATAAAAATTAGATATATCAAGGATCATAAGCCTTCTTCTTAAATAAAGTTGCTTGACCAAGGTCACTATATACTGTATATCTGCAGTTCTCATCACATTCTCTTCCATGAGAGAAATGCTTCATATAACATCAAATCAACTAATGTTACCATATGTATGCCATTTGATTATGCTAATTTATTCAAGAGTGGAGTAACAATGAGTGCCTTGGGACTGTGGTTTTATTTGGACCATTATATCACCACTTCATATTAGCAGTAGTCATATTTGTGGAATGATGATGATGGGACAACCAAAGTGCTCAGGGGAAAAACCTGCTCTAGTGCCACTTTTCTCTTCCCCCCCCAATCTTACATAAAATTCCCTGAACTCGGATCTCAGTGCTGAGAAGCTGGCATCTAACCGCCTGAGCTGTGGCATGGCCTGAGATTATTATTTTCATAGTTTCAGAGGTCAAACTGATCATATTGTGGTTGCAGATTTGTCCCTTAAGCAAAGTGATTAGTCAGCAAGAATAGTGTCTTTCAATTTCCAACAGATCTATGTTTGTCATATATTTTAATGTAATTTATTAATTTCTTTCTCTTTAGGTATTATAGTCTTCATACTACAAATAATAATATTCTGTTTGTGATTTGTTGACTCTAGGAAAGGAACAAATGTGACCTCTTTCCCAAATTTTTCATACTTGATGCAGAAGGTAAGCTCCACGGCTTGAGTCATCAGAGCAACTAATCAATGGGAAATGTGGGTGTAAGTCCTGACTGTGCATCAGTATTAAATGACCAGAGGTTATGCATAACTTATTGTGCACATAGGTAATAAAAGAGATAAAGGAAAAATTTCCACTGTGCTTAGGTATTGTACCATGAAGGTGCATAGAGGGCATGGAGTACATTTTTGACCTTTGGCATTAGACAGATATCGGTTGTCAGTTTCAGAATCTGTCAACTGGCTACTCTCAGGGTAAGCGCTCCAATTTTATAAGGAACTAAGATTTGAATTCTAGCTGCCATTATACTGATTACACTGTCAAGGCTGACAGACAGATGTAGCACACAACAAAATATCTGTAGCCTTTAAAAAAATTTGGATTACACTATTTGAGATTCAAGCTTGGACACAAAACACTGTCTTAACTTGTAAAGTATGCTTAAGAATAATTCTTAGTTGCCAGTTGTTGGGAATATTTAATGTTTTGTAATGAATCCTTGTTAATGGTAATGATACACAGCTTTGTACTTCTCAGGTCAGGAATAATTATGTGATGTAATTAACAACAGATTTTATCTCTTTGTTTGATTAGTTATTTCATACCTATAAATATTCATCTTTTGTCTACATTGCTTTGATAAACATATCAAATCTGGCCACAGCAGTCTGTTTCAATCTTTTTAATTATGCATAATTTTCATTGTGTTGTTGAAAGTGAAAGAAGTTAAATTTCAAGAATACTGATCAGCAACATAAAATAAATCGTCCACATCATTTTAGCCACAGTAAAAACATGAAAACTTTATACCATTTACTTTAATAGCTATTGTAGGGACAATATTGTATGTCTATAGCATTATAAATAGAAAGGATTCCTCTTTGTATTGTGAGCACTTTTTCCTATCTTTTTGTATCTGGGGCACAAGAGGTTACAAATAAATTATCAGTTTATTTCAAACAAGATGCAGCAGAAACAGCTGTTATGTCAGGTTAAACAATGAAAGGGTTGATGCTAAGTAGAAAGTCAATGTTCTTTCTTTCAGTTCCATATTGAATTAATATTGTTTTATTGTAACAATCATTATGAACAAATGGAAGGCTGATCTACATGAACAAGTAACAATGCAAATTGTCTCAAATGTGCAAGTTTCTATTTCATTAAGTTTTCTTAATGCAAAATTAAACCTTCAGGGAAGACAAGAAAGCCATTTAACATAATCAGATTATTATGCATCCATGTTTACAGTGGCTTATAAAATACATAAGGGGCAGACAAAATGCACCCCTTAAAAATGGACTTGACCAAGTGAAAGGAAATTCATATAACCAAAATGAAATGACTTTATATTTTAACATGTCATTTATGTGTCTGTATCAATAATCTCCTTGCCTAAGAAATTTTCTGTTACTTACTAACTTCTTCCATAAAAAATTATAAAAAAGAATTGTACAAAATATTAAGGAAACTAATAATTTAATGACCTAATTTGGTTTCAGATATTTTCTCCGGTCTGCGATTTTCTCTCTCTAACACACAAATCATATGAATTATGCACATCTCAGCAATCAGTATTGTGCTTACATTGATAATTCAGTTCTTTATTATTAGTGTGCTACATGAACAGCCAATTACAGATACAGCATAATCATCCATATTTTACCAGGATGACACACTCTCAAAGTTATTCCCATGTTTGAGATAAATTCATAAATTAGCTTCCTGCCAGAGCCACTAAATTTGTGAAAATATTATCCAGCATTAATATGTTTGGTGCTCATATGCTTCCAATGGGTAATACAGAAATAACCATTACCAAGGTCTCCACTTGTCCTGCGCCTTAGCCACACAGTCTGAGGCATCATGCTTCGGACCGGTGATACGGAATGTGCTCTGGTTCGAGTCTCGGGGAAAGAAATTTCTCATGAGATTTTCGACCAGTGTATGGGACTGGTGCCAACCCAGCATCGTGAGGAAATTGGGGAGCTACAATGGGTAGCGTAATCCGGTCATGAAAACTTGCAATGGCTGGGGGTTCGTCGTGCTGACCACACGTCACCCTATATCTGGTTGGATGATCGTTCACCTCTGCTTAGGCATGTGAACGTGAGGCCAGCAGCCAGCTAGTCGGCTTAGGCTCTCATAGGGCTGTTACGCCACGGATTATTATTAATATTAAGGTCTCCACTTATTGAAATGTGTTCTCTTCTGACATTCCTGTCTTCCATGAAGGGACTTTTTTAAAAATGTTTGTAATTTTAAAAGTTCATCTCTTTGTAGTCTCTTTAGGTACATCACTTCTGATAATTATCATACAAAATGAAAGCTTACTTTGTTGGGCATATGAATGACTCATTGAATCAACAGGCACTGACATCGAAAGCTGTGCAAGGAATTTGCTCTGGAGTAGCAATGGAATGGTATGTGCAATTTCTTGCAAGACACAGACCAGACAATTTAATTTATAATGGCTGGATGCAAAGGTGCAGGAAATTATCAGGATAACTGAGATGTTCACTCATCCACTGTAATGGTGTTTCCCAAGGAGGCTCGATACCATGTGTCATTACAAGAACTGGAAGAAACAAGGCAGTGCTTCAGTGTTGTAATAGGAATAAGAATAAAACTGTAGCTATGAAAAGCTATGTTCATGCCACATACAATTCCTAAGATTACTGGAATTAAAAAGACCACCAGGATGTGGCATAGATGATATAATTTGGAAATGCAAAAACACAATGATACAGACAGGGCTTAAGAAAATGTGAAGATAAAAAGAAGAAAAGAGGAGAAGACTTCACTTGTCCATGCAGCTCTTATGACCAGTACGTGTTCTGTTTCTCCTTATCATTCTTGTACCTTTTTAATAATTTTACTGGATTCGCTGAAGATACAGCTTGGTGGTGAGCCATTTGGTTAGAGATATGAGCCTTTGAAATTGCTGGAACACTGAATATCAAGTGTTTAGGAAATACTATAAGATAAGAACAAGACAGTGGACAGTGTTTCTTCTTTCTCAATTATATAATTTAGTTACCTCAATGTTATGTAAGTAGGTCAGATAATTCATCTCTATTGGTTAATAGGTTAGACAGTTCCCAATGCACAATAATATTTAAATCCAAAATGTAAGAACCTGATAAATAATGATGTTTGTTCAATGATTTTTTTTATTTTTAAGGGAACACTGCACTCCAGAATAAAATCTAAACAAGCTCAGGATAGTATGAAAAGGCAGGCTTCTGTGAGCATGACCATAACTATCAAGTATTGATGGTCAAATTATGCTGGTATGTAGACCTACTATACATGATGCTACAACAGGTTAACTTACGATTTGTCTCATTTGGGAAAACTTCCTGTATCAGATTTTGCAAAGATTTTCGTTGTCCTTCCTCTGTAACTGGCCTCACAAGACGCTGGATGAAAGGTCCTTCACCACGGTAACAACGGAATGGAATATATTTAAATACTTCCTCGCCACTCGCTTCCATAAGTTTCCGGTTCACAGCCCAAAATTGATCAAATTTGTCTGCAAAATTAAGCGCAAAATCTAAAATACTGACCTGAAAGTAGAGATAATCAAATGCAAAGAGAGATTTCTCTCTTGCACAATCTGTTAAAGTTACTATTAGGAATTCAAAATCATGATTGCCCAGCTAAATAAACAATAAGTGACTGATAAAAGGTTTACTACACAGTTTCTAAAGTTTAATCAAGTAAGATTGGGCCATGTCATGTATACTGAAAACTGATTATAAATATTTGCCTTTTCCTCACCAATGAACCACTTGAATCTCAAAAGCAACTTTCACTAGGCCTGTTACAGTGTTATCTGACCAATACTTACTGTTGAAGGTTGGTTTTATAACCTATAAATATAATAGTATGTGGTTTATGATTGTATGTTATGAATGGTATGGAAGGGATATAGGAAAGTAAAAAAAGGCTATGAGGGATGACGATAAGGAAAAAATCATTCCTTACTGAATATAAATAAGCCTGGTCTGCTGGTTAATATATATATATATACACAATATATATATATATATATATGCTGAGATGACATCCATGCAGAATACTTGATTTTCAAAACATTACCTTCTTTGGCACAGAGGTCCCTCATATAGAACATTGTTTTTTACAAAACAGTTTTAAAATTCTTAAATCATATATTCATATTCTGTTCACAGAAACATTTTAATTTGTACAGTTCTTTGTATAAGTGAATTTTTATTATTCAATCTGCTGTATCTTTTCTGTCATTGTGTTGGTATACAAATTTTTGCAGTATTCACATAAGACATGTTGTATAATCAGAATTGTGCAGTAAGTGATGGCTGGCCCATTTTCATTTTATCTGACCCTTGTAATTATTACTGCTTGTACAGAAAATGTTTACCATTCTGCAGTCCAAGCCACAGTTGATTATGGTCCTTTTTCTGCATACTAGAGACTACTTGACTACGGTGCTTAAGTACATCTGCTTCTTTCACACATGACATGAAGTGAGATTCCACAGCTTCCCTGTTATCAACATAATAATTAAAAATCCACATAGACTTTATATTTTCCAACTTTGGCTACTATTGTTAGAAATGAAAGGTACCAAGTTTCTTTACTTTGCCACAATTCCAAAGGGGAATTTTAATTCATAAAATAACAGGAAAAAAGAAGGATGTGAATACATAAATATAAACATTTCAGTGGTTAGGATTTGAGGTTCCCACAGTGAGTATGAAGATGGCTGTCTTCCAGATCATAGCACCATGTAGTCTGCTAGAAGTTTATCAGTGGTTCCCAAACTGCAAGTAGTTAGTGAGCACTTGGAGACATGCAAAATATTTCAAGGGCTTCACCAGAAAAAAACTGTGTTATGAAGATCTTTCTGTTAAAATCACTCTGTTTTTGTTTCAGATAATAATATTTTTCATATTCTAATTGCATAATCAACATTTATTGTTGAGTAACAATTCTTCAACTTCTTTCATTTAACAAAAAAAGGTTGTGAGTTTAACAATTCTCTAAACTGTATAGTTTATATGGAATGAGGTTTTCTCTGTGCATCCCAGCAGGTCACAGATTAGCTACCACGAACTTCAACGTGTGAACATAAGACATTTCACAAAGATGCCAGGAATGTGAACAGAACAATGGAGAACATTTCCAGCATCTGCTGTAATCACAGTAAGTTTTAATTTGAATGTGTTCAGTCTGTAGATTTGTCAGTTATACTAGTAATATGAATGCCCATGGGTTTTATGACAGGATGAACATCTAACCCTTCCATGTGAGTGGTTAAGAGATTAGTGGACATGTTCAAAATAACTTATCATGGCCTGCTTTACGGTACTATCAGCATCTGCCATGAGAAAAAATATGGAACACCTTTCAGGATAGCCTGTCTACAGGCTAGAACCTCCCAAATACAAATCAAGAGTGCTAATCACTCATATATCTAATGTTTTGTAAATTCTTTGTGAAACACTGTGTCTAGATTTCAGTGCTAGGAAAGAATAAGGGGTCATGTAAGAGAAATTATCAGAAGAAAATTTAAATAATATTCACATATTCTAATTTCTCAAGGAATGAGGTTGTGGACTGATTGAGAACCAATGTATTATGTACACTAGTATCAGAAGTACTTGTCCATGCATACACATGTTCAAGTAGTCTGTTATTAGATCACATTAGCATGTACAGGATGATAATTTTGTGAATTTGTGCAGCAACATCACTCCCATCATACTCCAGGTCAACAGGCTTGTTATCATTTTCAGAAGTTTTTGTGACAATGTAATTGGTGTCAGACAAAGATTGTTACTTCTAAATTTCATATCCTTAATTTTCCTTCACATGAATTTTATATTTTCAAAACATAATGAAACTTTGATGCCTTGTGATGTAATGGGTAAAACATTCTAAGTACATCTTACCTACAAGGGCAGTGTAGTAGTTCCTCTTCTGGAAACTTGTCAAAATGAACAGTAATATTCCATGGTAATTGGATATCTGACGCATACATATCAAACAGCACTCCAATCGGGTAATGCCTTCCAAACAGGGAAAATAAAATGTTGAATCCATTACTTATTTTATACACTGAATTTCTCATAGCAAATCATATAACTTTACATTTTGTATGTCTGTAATGAGGATTTGTAATAAGAGAAGGATTCTCATATATTTATATGGGATCTAGTGATATCTTTTTTCCAATTTGATACTGCTGGACCTACCACATAATCAATGCCAAACATGTAATAATTCTATATCAGCATTCATACCCCTTTCAGATATATAACTAAATGCCTAGTAACATTATACTGAAAACTGTCTCAATGTAGCCACTGTTCTTGAGAATGGTCAAAAATTCCCCTGCATTTAATGGAACCTGAAGCTTCATTACTGTGTTCACAAGAACCTACTGATGGACCCTATCATGAAGGAGTTCACATTTTCATGCCATATTTAAGACACATTAATATTCTCCTATCCATACCTAGCTCTTGTAAGTGGTATCTTTCCTTCAGGTTGTTTGATTAAAATTTTGTATGCATAGCATGCCACATGCTCTTCACATCTTATTCTTTTTGACTGAACTTTTGAAGGGGGCAAAGACCAAGTTTCATACCCATACCCATGAAGACATGAATGAAAATTATAGTTTTAACCACTACTTGAATTATGTAAACACTAAATTCAAACTTGGCAGTCTAGCACTGAATAATAAGTGGTCAAAGCATCTTCAGAGTTCTAAAAAGCAAATAATGGACAACAGTACAAATTTATCACCAGGACATCCTGATGCTTTCTTACCATCTCAAGGGCTGGCCATTGAAATCAAGCCACATTTCAGCTTCCTGTTTATCTGGATGAATATACCTAACAAACTGCTTACGGACCTGAAACATTCTATGCATTAGTTTATAATACCTACATGTTAGGAACATAAGTGAAGGGCTATGCCACTTTCATAAGTCATGAGAAAATTTGGTTAAGCTATTGATGGGGAAGCACTCGTTGACTATAAATTAGTTTTATAAAAATTAAATAACATTGGAGTCCTTATGTTGCACATTTCAGGTTTTTGGTGAGTTCCTTCTTACCTTATCAGTAACGAGAGGAAAGTAGCTTAAACGAGGAACCATCAAATAATATGCATCAGGGGCCTGGAGAGAATGTATTTCTTCAGAATTTAACTGAAAACAGACAGGTAATCGTCCCTCCCATATTTCTCTCAGAACCTCTCTGTCGTTCGCCATTTCTTGTAGTAATACTTAAAACTTTTTCGTTTCCCTTTCTTCCAGTTACCTTGTTTACTAAACACAAAATCGTCTGCTTGATCTTGAAGCATTAGCAAGGCCAATGTGCATTACCAACTACGTAGTTAATTACAGATTTTGATTCTTCAATAAACAGCCACATGTTTGTATTAGAATCGATCCAATCTGATGTTATGAAATATATGTTTTATAAAGTTATTTCCTATTCAATGAATGTTAAGGTTCAGTAATATAAATTTGTTGCTTTTTCATCGTCAAGTATTGGTAACAATAAATAAACGAACACCAACTTGCGAGTGAAAATAGTGTTACTAACTGTCATAGATAACGTATCTATTTGTTGCTAAATGTATCGATAGTCTTCAAGAGCAAATTTCTTTCATATTAAACTTTTACTTAGTTGTCTTACTTGTGAGACGTGCACCACAACGCGCCAACGAAAACAGTGTGCAGGACGGAAATCTGTATTTTTGTTTAATCTAACCTTACCTGTTTGGTTTGTTTATTTCGTATAGTATAAAATTGTGCAAAAATTTTAGAAGTAGTTTTGCGTCTTTCTTGCATTTTATTTGTGTGTACTGTGACACAAATAGAACTCTTAATGTCTAGTAGTGAAGAGGAGGAATTCTTGGTCCATGTGGAATTTAATGGCATGTTGGAGAAGGACGTTCTTGATAGGTCTCCAATGTTCAAGATGATTGGTGTTGAAGGAAAAAGACCGGTAATGCAGATTGGAAACCAGGTATGTGTAAGACAAAGACAAATATACATATAGATTTATGAAAGTTAAATTTCTTACATAGTTATAGTAGGCAAGATTTTGATAATTATATAAACATGAGACTGTCAAATTGCCAAGATGAGTTCTGGTAATGGGTAAAGTGTACAATAGTCTTTAATTTCCCACGTTGCCATGTTCCAGGGCCCCTCAGTGTTGTTTCCTGGTTTGGGTTTATTGGGTCAATTAATTATTTAACAATGTGACTTTTGTTACTATAGACTTAAGAGAACATGTTCTATTGCAATTACTACTCCATTTTGTATTATATATTAAATAACTTGTGTAACTTATTTAGTATTATATATGTCTGAGTTGAATACTTTTTCTTCTTCTACACCTTTGTCAAATTAATCCTTTCTAGTATTGCCAGGTTAATGAATTCAAGAGATTACAAAGTGTTAGATACATAGTTTGGAAGAGGAAACAAGAAATTATATAGAATTTTGCGAGAAGAGGATGTTATTACATTTTTATAGAGAAGAGAGTTTAATTATTCTGTTACAAAATTGATTCCAAGTTTGTTATTAATAGTGTATGTATGAACCTTCAGGCTCTGTCCATGTGTACTGATAAACAGTATGAAGAAAATGGTCAAATATGGAAGATTTCTTGATATTGGTCATGACACTGCCCATATATGTTACAAAATAATTAAAGAAAATATCCAACATAAATGCAACATCAGCAGCATCAAGGAGCACAGAATGATGCCTCACTCTTGGATGTAGCATTTCCACTTATTTGTTGTGTTTAGGAGGCATCTTGTTTTAGTCTGGATTTGATCCAACTATGGGGACTGAGGCTGAGCAAAGCAGAATTAAGATATAGATGGAAATGATATTTTAAAGATACCAAATATTATTAATTTTAATATTGTTACATTCTGAGGACTTTATGGTGGACAGCAAATTAAATGTTAGCAGTAGTATAGTGTGCATCAATATTCAGTCCCTGTACATCTTTTTCAGACATTTGCAGGGGAATATCGTGACACTGTGGGGACAGCTCTTTTCTTTGAAGAGGATCCAGTACCCCCTGGAGGTGATCCTGTTTTTACAAGCATTCCAGAACATAACCTTCATTATGTTTATAAGACTCGTAAAGCACTACACATGTCAAGAGTATTTTTAAGGAGAAGAGATTTAGGTGAGAATATTAATGCAAAATGTAATGCTGAAGATGATTCTGGCTTGGATCCAGAGGATATTGGTGGGAATTCTAAAAATAAAAGTCAGGAAAATGGATCCAAACATGTTCATGACAACTCTTCAATCAACCTTATGTTTGAGGTAGAAGAATTTCCTCCATTGCATAGTACTGAGAAGAAACAGGCGACCACAAGGCCTGAGCCTGAACCAATAGCAGGCCCTTCATGGATGTCTGATCTACCTGATGGTGATGCTAGAATTTTGGGAACATTGATGGAAGCAACTGCATCAAGGAGTGTGACACATGAGATGTCAAGACTTGTAGAAAAACAAATAAAGGTTACTAATGATAGCATTAGAAATATTGAGACAGATTCTGACAGTGTCTCCGACAGTTAAAGATTTCCCTGAGAAACATGTGGAGTAACTTGTAGAAGTGATAACTGCTACATGCACTGATATTGTGTTATTCATTGTACTTTCCATGCAGTGCATTAGCTGCATTCAGTTTGGTTCCATCATGCCTTATTCAGTAATGCCAATATTGAAGTTGCTAGTTACAACATTTAGGAGTATCTGGAATTAGTTTGAACTGACATCAGCTAGTTGTATTCTGTATGATTCAACTCAAGAACCACTGGACAGATTTCAATGAAATTTGGTATGGATGTTATGCCATTCAAGAGTAGCCTAAAATTGTGCTTTTCAGCGTTTTACAATTGGTAATACCAACATGGTGGATGTACAAACTTTTGAGGTGGGATAACCACTAGTGCCACTTGCAGTAGGACCTCGCAATGATGTATGGTTATATATTTTTAGAAAATACAACATAGAAAATAATTCTTTGTATAATAATAACATGGATTCGAACCTATGATTATGTTCTTTCGCTTTTGTACTATCTGGAAGTAATGTACATGCTACAACCAAATACCAAATGAACATGTTCATTTATACAGACATGTTTCGGATCATTTTATCAGCCACCTTGAGAGAGATGAAGTTGTTGAGCTGCTTCACCCGAAGTTTAGCCCAAATGATGTGATCATGAAGGGCGTGGATCTGAGCTGCTGCAAGTGCTGCTGATTCTGGGTACACAACAGTTGTACACCCCAACCCTGTGTACAGAGAAGACATGAGGCCACTACCAAGAAACTGCAGTCTTCATTAAGGTAGGGAAATAATATAAATTCTTTAAACACAAGATAATATTCTTGATGAAAGTAGTATTACAGAGGTGGAAAATATTGGTCGGGTGCTTTCACCAATTGTAAATGTGTAGTATGAGTATAAACCATAAGACCAACACCTACAGTACTCATGACAGTTGATATCTTCACAGACTCAAACTGAGTATCTCCCAAATGCACATCTGATGTGAAGGTACTGAGATAAATCTCTCATTAAAACTGTGGCAGAATAATATCTCACCTGATGGTATATTTAGAGAGGACCATATGTCTTGAGCCACATTATCTGGCTTGACTGGGGGACAATTGATAACTGGAAAGCAGGCATTTCCAGACAGAACAGGTCCAAGTCCATTGCTTCTTCCAGCAACTGCTATCAGTACTACTTTCTCAATAGAACCTGGAAGCAAAAATAAAAGTAGCATTTACCATGATCAGTTTCAGAATCTCTTCTTTCTTGTTCTTCGACGT